AACTGCTATTGTAACAATATGTTAAGAGCCTTGTTTTAAACTTTCAAGCTTTTCTGCCTAACAAATAAATTTTTACCAATATTAATCTAAAAAAAACTAATAATGAAAATTTCAAATGCCTATGAATAGTTAAGTCGAAAATTTTTGAAAATTGCATGGTGGATAGAATATACTTATATAAACATTAGGTGAAAATTTCATGTATCCATGTTCATTTTTTTTTAAATTACATCAAAAACCAAAATCGATTTTCTCGAAAAATGAGTGTGCGTAAAATTTCCCGTTTTTCCCTTAATTTTTAGTTTATTTTTCTCGATTATTCAGAAAAGTATTAAGAATTACTATGAATATATATACTATGAAGCATTGAAGCAGTAAAATTAACAAATTCAGTGTTCAGTCCGAAATTTTACAAATAATAGAGCCTGCTTTAATCACAATAATATATTAATATCTTAAAATATAATTATTAATAGGCTGACAGATAGTTTTCACTTAGAATCGTTTTTCCGGTACAATAATTATTAGATTCAAATTTAWGTTATAGTGCATTTATTAGAATGAATATTTATATAATTAAAGCACAGCAACAGTAGATAGTTGCCCACTTAGGTACCGTTTTTTTGCTAACTCGAGAATTCAAGTACCTTCTTGAGTTATTAAATTTTAAATGATTGCATTCACGATTATTGAATAATAATAAAATTCGATTAAACATATATTAAATTTATAATGAATGCATAAGATAAATAAACATTTTTCACTATAAGCTTATTCTGTATTTGTGTATRTACTCTTTGTATAGTTAATCATGGATAGTTTTAAGTTTGAACTCATTTTTTAGGCAGAACAAGATGACTTCTATAAGTGACTAACAATAAAGATAAGATAATGTTTTCTTGAAAAATACGAGTGTCAAGATATATACTTCAGTTTATATTCTTTCCTATATTGTACATTTTACCTAAAAATTCAATCTTTTTTTTGTTWCATAATGTCATTAGTTACTAATTATAATATTACAATTAATTGCAACTTATATAAACTGTTAATATTTAAATATAAAATTGCTTTTTTATTGTTAAATTAGAAATGTTAAACTGGAGGACAAAAAAGCCATCTCAAAATGTACACCCCAAGTACTCCGGTAAGAAAATTTTTTGACTATCAAATATTTTGTATTCAAATACATAAAACATACAAAATTAATAATAATTTAATGTAAAAGTATTTGATAATAAAGTAACATTTTACTAATTTCAAATGTTATTTGCACATTACAATATTAAACATATTACCTATGTGTATTGATACATTTATTATTTTAACATAAATTTGAAATTTGACCCATTTTTATTTTTTTTTATATCATTATGGTGTACTCTTCCATTTACAACGAAATTACTAACATTCATAAAATCGTTATTCTTCTTTTCTATTTCTTTTTTTTCTTAATCTAATTCAAATTTTAACATAAAACTATGTTTATATATATTTTTAGTTACGATATAACCTACTTAAGAGAACTCATGTAAATCTTCAATCCTTAGCAAAAAAAATTGAATATTTTATGTAATTTGAAAATTTTTGCAATATTGACTAATATTGTCAAAATTWAAATAAGCCGCAAGCTTTTTAAAAAAAGATTATGCCAAGTATATCTTTCTTACTAGATTCTGAGCGTATTTTAGATTCTGAGCAGAGCGATGAATGTATTGATTTCAAAATGCTGTATTCCTGTGTTTTTTTATTTTTATGTGTCTGTGTACACGAATACACAATAAGTTGTCAAAATAATGCTTCGATTTTCAACCTAAGTTGCTTTTCCGGTTGGAAAGTCTAGTTGGTGCATTAGGGAGATTAAATTTTGAAATTCCCTATTTTTACTTAAAATCATTTTTAGAAAGTCGATTTTAGATATTGGTGTTACTCTAAAACAAATCATCGTAGTTACCTACATGAAATTTTCACTGAATGTTTATACTGACATTTTCTATACATGATAAAATTTTCAAAATATTACAAATCTTTCTAAGTTATTTATAGACATTTGAAATTTTCAATCTTTTTAGTTTTATTTTCTTATAAATGATAATAAA